CGCCGCGTCCTTGGCCCTCCTCCAGGGGACCTGGGCCTCCCAGATTCGGGAAGGCGGGCTGTCCTCCGGCCACTGATAAGGACGGGCGCGGGGTAAGAGATCCTAACAGTGCCCGGGCAGAACGAGCCGGGCAGAGCCGGGATTAATGAGAGCCGCCGGCGCGAGCTCTGCTCGCATGCTCAGCGCTCTTAGGAACAATAATGACGACAGCAGCCACCGCAGCCACCATTTATTGAGCGCTCTCTCCGTGCCAGGCACGGTGCTGAGCGCTTGCTGGCGACACCCCGCGGAGGTAAGTACCGTTATTGACCCCATCTTGCAGGACACGGGGCAGAGAGGTTAGGTCACTCGCCCCAGAGCACATAGCTAGCTGACGTCCGTGCCAGAATTCCAACCCATGTAACCCTCTTGGCCACCCATTAAGGTCGGGATCATTCTTCCCATCTTAAAGATGAGGAAGCTAAGGCACATGGAAATGTAAGTACCTTGCCCAAGGTCACCTAGCTGGAAAATGGACGAGGCAGAAAGCGAACCCAGGGCTCCTCTCTGTCCGCAGAACCCGCGGTCTTGGCCATAGGCGACTCCACGTCCAAACCACCTGCGACAGCCCAGCAAGCTTTGGGCCCAGGTCCCCTGCAGGGTCTGATGGGTTCCTGCGGCCTCCGATCCCCTGGTGAATCGGGTGATTCCGAGCATCGTCCCTGCTCGGCCGGCAGGCGTAGGGTAGGACGCGTCTCCGGGAATCCAGTCCCGGATGGGGCCGAGCGGTCCCGGGCAGGGACTGAGAGGGGGCGGAGGCGGCTGGAGGGATCCCCAGTCCCGTGCCGAGAGCCGGGGCTTTGCCTCCCCGCGGTCAGCAGGGGGCGCTGCCGCACGGGCCTCGAGTCCCGGTCTCCAGCTCCGGGAAGGCTGACCTCCGCCTACTGCCGCCTACAGTGGCCAGGACTCTGAGCCCCAGAGCGGGAAGCTTTCCTTCCTGGAGGCCGACACCCTTCTGTCCCCCCACTCGGTCCTGGACCCGATTTGTCTGGCTGCCGTCCCCCATCTCTGTCCTCTTGCCACCCCACCGTCTATCTGCCTTGCGAATGTCCCCAGTCCCTGCACAGCAGACGCAGTCCCTCCTGAGGACACTGGTCTCAGTCCATGGAAAGACCCAGGTGTCTACAAATCCGAGTCAACTTGTCTCCCCCTTCTGGTGGGCCCTGCCATGATTTAAAATGGGGCTCCATCATCCATTTGGAATAGTGAACTTTCATCCTTTTGCTAAAATAAGAGAAGGGAGGAGGGGATTGGCTAGGGAGCAGCAGATGAAAGAATCTATTTTCATAATAGCTACCGCCTATTGCTTGCTTTTTTGCTTGGAGCCCTTTATATGTCTTGACTGACGGGTGCTCATGGCAGCCTGAGAGGCGTGGATCGATGTTCCCACTTTGTGGATGAGGCTGGGAAGTTGGTAAGTGGCCAAGCTGGGCACCCACGTTGTTCCCATCTCCTGGAACATACAAGCTCAGACCACTGATCAGAAAAGGTAGGATACAGCCCCCGGTCTACCCTGAGTGCTTAAAATACTGTACCACATTGAATTAGGGGCTTGACTGGCTTTCTAAGCCCACTCTGGGACTCAAATATCCAAAAAATAAGAAAAAGAAAAACAAAACCTAAAGGTGCACTGGGAATAAGCAGGATTTAGCTTGGAAGGGTATCCGTCCGGAGAGGCCCACACACTTTCTATGTCTGGACTCTAAGGAAATAAAGGTGGTTCTAGGAAAATCTGAAAAATATGGGAGGAAAAAAATCCCTTCTGTGGTTTTTACTTTCACTAAGCCCCATTTTACTATTTGTGTTTTATTTTAAAATTAATGTGGCTCTCTCCGCCCTTTCAACTGGCACATAAATAGCAAAAACAGAAGGGAATCCAGCTACAGACTTCAAATGCGGTAGGTTCTCAGGAAGGAAGGACATGACCGGAAGTGGGAATGAGGACTCAGTGAGGTGCCCTGTACATTTCAGAGCAGACTTTCCACCAGGAGTTTAGACCCTGGGTCCTTGGGATAGGCATTGTGTCTGGCCCTGGGCTATGTCTAGTCTAGAATCCAGGAGTGCCCTATGGGTGTGTAAATGCAGTCACACTTGGAGGGTGTCTTCTCACCATCTGGGCCACCACTGTGTCCCTGCAGTATAAGTGTGGCAGGGTGTCCTCTAAATCAGTCAGGGTAAAGCACCCATTGCAGATGACACCACTCTTGGTTAGGGAGACTGACTGCTCAGCTCTGGAGTCACAACCTGGTGGCTTTTCTAGACCGAAACCAGGTCAGAAAGGACCTCATGAGAATTGCATTTAATAGTTCTGGTTCAATTTCTCTGCCCTTTTTTTTTTTTTTTTTTTTTTTTTTTTTTGGTGGTTGGCGTT